ATCCTTGGTTGGCTCCAAGCCTGTCTCAGTGCCAATCTTCATGCTTTTCCCAGATTTCCTGGAAAGTCGCATTGCTGCCTTTGAAGGGCTGTGTGCTGACTACATAGCGCTGTTGACAGCCAAGCCGGAATTGTGGACCCGCATCCCATGTCCATTCCTCCACACGTCTCAGTCAGAATGGAACAGCTGCCTGTCATCCACCCGCAGCTTGTTCTGTAGCAATTTGATATCCGAAGTGGGCTCAGTGGAGGAAAGCCGCGTGAGCAAGAGATTGCGCTTGTATATTACGCTGCTGCGCCAGAATCGGCACCAAATTGCCAGCGGCGGTGTCAGCTTGAAGGCCATCCCCAACCCATGCGACCACAATGTCAGCAAAAGGCAGTGGGAAAGGGCTTGCAAACACTGGCGGCAAGATGCGCGGGGCGGATCTGAGGTGGAAATTTTGGGGCGGGAGCAGAATCCAAATTGTATCTTGCAGGACAGTGCCCTAATTCACGCCATTTTTCATCGCAACGCGATTCCAGCTGGATGCTTGCAGGCCGCATCTCACATTGCCGCTAGCCAGACAGACCCAGTAGGCGCATTGGAGATGCTCCGGTCAGCCCCTGATCGAAAGCTGCCAGACCATGAAGGCCTACGGCCCATCCATCATACCATGTGCACAGATTCCAGCCAACAGTTCGGCACGCTCCAGGTTTTGATCTGGTTCGGTGCAGATGTTTTGAGCCAGCATTTCCCCGGTGATTCTGGATTTTCCTTGGCCCCGCCTGGGCTATGCATAGCTGTCTGCATGGATGAGTGCTGGTATAGGCTGCCCATGTTTGAGGTGTTGGCGCGGCACACGGAGGAACTAGTGGATTTGTGTGGGCGTTCTGCTTTGTGGAACACTTGCAAGATCATGAGACAGCAAAGCTTCATGTTCCCATTGGCCGACGATGTTGAAGGCGGTAGTGAAATTGTCTCGTTCCAGATGGCTTGCACAGGAGTGACGGTTTGTGCCTTGTTCGTATCAGATGACGACACCATCCTGACCTTAAAGCAGCAGGTTGCCTTGCATCTAGGGCACCTTCCCTTCGCTGTTGTTTTTCTGGTGGACAATGAAGTTGTTCCATTTGCGCAGACATGGGCCAGAGCTGGATCCCCGCCACTTATGCACGTGATTCTTAAACCCAGGACCAACTGTCACAGACTTGCCTTATCAAAAGCCATCCAAGCGCAAAACCACAATACAGTGATCGACCTCCTCAGTAATGGCCAAGAGCCAGATTGCATGGGCTTGATCGACCGCACTCGCCGCTTAGAGCCAGTATTGGTGACTGCAGCTTCAGCCGGCTTCTTCTATTCTGCATTTTTGCTCCTCAATGCATGGGCAGACCCTAATATTGCTGGCAATGACCGCCGGACTTCCTTGCATTTTGCCGTTCTCACACATTCGCCAATGACTGTGCAGGTTTTGCTGGCTGGAAGGGCTGATGTGCATGTGAGGGATTTGCATGGCGAAACCGCTTTACATTTTGCTGCCATCAGCGAGAACGTGGCTTTCGTGAAACAGCTGATCATGGCAGGGGCTGACCCTTTGACTCCCAATGAGGAAGGAGATGTCCCGCTACTTTGGGGCCGTGAAGTGGACACTAAGGGTGCCCTTTTGGAAGGCTGTTGGCATGACATGTCGTATACCATGCTCTTTCTCTTAAACTTGCGAACCTTGTCAGCCTATACAACTTGCAGGCCATTGGAAAAGCTTTGCAAGTGCATGCGCAAGCTGCTCTGTGAATATGTCTTGCACGATGAAGCTGACTTCCAAGGAGGGGCCGAGTCAAACGCACCAACGGAGCGCCTTTTGCACTTGTACTTGTTTCGCAATCCGCTCCCTGCAGATCGGCCCCGGGTGTGGCATCAATTGCAATTGTTTCAGTTATATGTGGAGCCTCTCCAGCCCACATTGCAGAAATTCCCGAGATTGTTTTGGATTTTGCCGGTGCCATTTGATGTCTCGCAAAGCAAGGAACAGTGGAAGGTGAAGCTGTTTGCTGCCTCCACGTTTTTGAATTTGCTGCAGAAGGGCGAAGTCGTGAAGCTGGAGGGTGCCCTCATCACCTGGTTTTGGCCAGAAATTTTGCAGGACATGTCCTTATTGGACATTCTTAGCACAAGGAACACATCATCCAGCGCACGTTCTAGAGCGAGGCAGCTATCTACTGCTGTCCTCTTCTTCTCAGTGCTGGCCACACCTTTGCCGCAGACCACCCCAAAGAAATTGAGTTCAATGGGGACAAACATCTGTCATCGTTGGGTTCTTCTGCAAAGATTTTTGCTCAGCAACAACCACCGCAAACCCAAGAGAGAGCAGCCTAGAGGAAATCCCGTTTTGTTGCTGTCAGCAGCCCTGCGGCAGGAACTTGCACGACCCGCAAATTTTGAGGATAGGCAAGGTGGCGCAGAAGATGTGAGCCAAGGTGGCACAGAAGATGTGACCCGCCGAATCTTGGAGAACAGGGGCGTGGCCCGTTCCCGCAAAATGCTGAAGTTGGTGCAATTGTCGCATGGACTTGGAATGGAGTTGCCGTTGCGGGGAGACAGCGTGGATGCTATGGTTCCCTATCGTCACGAACATTTTGCTCCCTGCGTAGACATCACAACTCTGGCATGGCTTCACCCCCATGACAGAGACCGTCACGTTCGGTTCGAGTCTGAAGGCCACGTGTATTACATCCGTGGCAAGCAGACCAATGGATCTGTGACTGGGTTGATCCATGCCTTGGCACGACCATTCGATGCCGACGAAGTAATTTCCAATATGATGGCAGGTGACAGATGGCCTCGCGCAGGCTATTTGCGACCATTCTTAGGAGAGACTGTATTGAAGCGCGTCCGCCAAGTTGATGCAGACCTTGTGCTTGCTCTCCTGGACTCCCCCCGCAATGATACATGGATCTCCAACCGGCTCCAGAGCCTGCGGACGAACTTTCCAGAGATTGTCCAGAGTCTGGTATTTGGCCCGCATGAAATCAAGCGCATGTGGGAAGCCAACCGAATTGATGCTGCTCTTCGAGGCACCCACATGCATTTTTGGTTTGAAGCGCATGTGAATGGATATGTGGTGCCAAAAACAAGTCCAGAATTCTCGATGCTTGAAACCTTCTTACAAGACATGCAAGGGTGGCGCGCCTTCCGCACGGAATGGGTTATTTTTGGTGAGGAAGAGAACATTGCTGGGTCAATCGATCTCACTGCACAAAACCCAAATGGGCAGTTGGCACTGATTGACTGGAAGCGGACCTCCAGCCTAGCATCGAAATTCTCTTCGCCGTGGACGATGCTACCGCCTTTAGATCATGTTCCGGACTGTGCTGGGTGGCATTACCGGCTCCAACTGAACATTTACAGGTATATTGTGGAGAAATACTACGGCTTTGAGGTGGCTATGATGCTAGTGGTTTGCACCCACCCCGACCAACAATTGCGGCCTTTCATCGACCATGTGCCGCGTCTCGACAAGGAGATTGAAGTCGTGATGAGTTTGCGGCGGGACAAAGCACATGCTGTTGATGTGTCTGGAGGATCAGATTTTGAGGAACAACTTGAGAAAGAAATGGATTGGCTGAATGAGCAGGCGAAAGCCGAGGAGGCGGCTAGTAGGAGAGATGGGAGGGGTGGGCCAGAGGGACGGGAAGAAGCACAGCAACCTGAAGGACTTGCAAGTCAAGCTCTTGAGGATGATGGAGCAAACCCACTGCCAGAAGTAGATGATGCAAATCTGAGACAATGCAAGAAGCGCCGCTTGCTTCCTGGAGCTGCTCAGTCCATGCCGAAGTTTCAGAAAGAATTTGACAGCTTGCGGGCTGCTGCAAATACATCTCTGCAGCAGGCGTCAATCAAAAAGCCTGAGCAGAGCCATTCCCTTTTGCAACAGAGCAGCTACATGATCAAGCAGGTGCGTGCTCGCAAGCCACAATGGCCTGAGCAGCTTGTGCGCTTGGTGGCGTGCGCTTGCGTTTTGCCCCACATGCGGCTCTGCGATGCCTACCTCCGGGAACATATTTACTTGATCTGGCTGATGGAAGGTGGCCGCTACCTTCGTGTCCACAACGGACAATGCTTTCTGTACCATGATTGCGGGGCTTTCCAAGTCTTTCGCGGAAGCCCGCCGGAACAAACAGTTGCCCGGATCAAAGAGTTCATACTTCAAGTCGAAGGGTTTTTTCGAAGCATCCAAGGAGCAGTAGATCGAACACAGGAGAGTATAGTGCAAATGGTAGAAGGCATGGGAGGCAGATGCGAATGGAGATATAAAGGTGCTACTTGACAAGTGGATATCTGCCGCGCTCTTCATGAAGCAGCTTCCGCGCGGCCGCAGAGCGCCTCAATTTGATGAAGTTGATGATGCGGAACCAGAAGCGGCGGCAACTGGTGATGCAGGAGGGTGGACCCAATCCATTGCTATCGCCCTAAGCAAGTTGAGCGTAACCCTGCAAAAGGAAGTCATGGATGATAAGATATATGGTCTCATGATTGAATGGTGTGAAACGCCTTGCCAGAAGCAAGCTGGCTGTGCGTACAAAGATATATGCGTTGTGTATGATTCAAATGAAGAGAATGTGGAATTTGTGCAGCCAAGCCACGACAACAACCTCTACACATTGATCCCGCATGCCTTAAAGCCTTCTTTGCCGGATCCCGTCCTCCAAGCTGCGAGCTGCCGTTTGGAGAAGTTTTTCCGCGAGACCTTTTGGCGGAACTTCGATGTCTTTTTGTGCTGTCAGGCAGCCCAAGCCATCGCGAAAAGGGGTGAGAATATTGACCGATGCTTCATTGGTGAGAGCCCCGGTGGAGTAGGCCAATCTTTATACAGTTCTCACTTGAATGCGGTTTATGGACACAATCACGCATTCATTGACCCTAATATTTGGTACGATGAGCAAGAGCTCCGGAAGCAGATTGAGCAATTTGCAGGCTGCTTTATCTTAACAGCGCAGGAGGCGCCTGAAACTTCACGCCGAATGCGGGAAGACTTGTACAAAAAGACAATGAGTGCAGATGGCATGGCTGGGAGGCGGCCGTACGGGTATGTCACCCGCATGATTGAACTTACCGGATGGAAGAGGATGGAGGTCAATCGTCTGATGCAGTTCAAGGGTGTATCTGAGCATAACTTCCCATCAATCCTGCGGCGCAGTTTCCTTTGGCGTCCGCACGCTCGATTTGTATGTCCGCAATACTTGGAAGAGCATTACACAGATGCGGCGCTGGATGGGTACTTTCCAAAAGATCCAACTTTGAAGGAGTTCCTTGTCTCAGGACCAGCAATCGCCAGCAGCATGCAGCTGCAGCACGCGTTTGAACATACATACTCACGAGCTGAATGCATACATATGATAGAATCATATTGCAATTTGGGTGGTGATCAGGGATTGACAGAGGACAAAATGCGAATCGCTTGTGGGCTCCCACCGCGTCAGCGTGCCGAGATCGCTGCTCCTGGGCTAGGCCCTGTGGATGATCAACTAAGCCAGGATCAAGCAGAAAGTGTAAAAACAGGTTCTGAAGCAGTGGCCCGCCGCATTGTGGAGGAATGTCTTTCAAAGGGGTTCTTCATGTTCACATTGCAACAGTTCAAGACCATGTCTCTGCCTTCGAATGCACCCAATTTAGACAAAGAGAGCATGTTGACACAGCTACAAGAGCATTTATTGGTAAAGCAAATAGCAAGAAAGCGCGGCAAAGGAAAGCAGATCATTGTTCCATGCGTCCTGGGGCAAGGCAGTTTGCAGGATGTCTTTGATCTGAAAAGCTCAAACGACACGGCACTAGTATTCCCCGAAATGTGGCACACAAGTTGCTTGCGGGACTTTGCTTCCAAACATCTTGCCAGAGAACACAATGTCGTCACTATGATAGCATTCTTGGATGCCAGCATTGCTGCATTGAAGAGGAAAGGCTCCGGAAAGTTAACGTCTGAGGTCAAGCTCAGACACGATGCGTTGGTCGAAAGGAGGCGTAAGTTGGAAGCCAACGAGCAGTTGATTGGGAAGCTCCTCGCTGCTGCTGGTGGTGAGGCTGGTGACCTGGAAGGGCAGGCTAGCAGTCACAGATGCACAGGGAAGCAGCAATTGCGACATAGCAAGACAAAGTACAGACAAGGCTCAGATTTGATCCGTGGACGAAGGTATGCTTGTCAGCCAGGAGCACAGCAATGCTCTCGGAAACTTCTCAGGTTCTTGTGCCCTCAATCTATTGACTTAGCTTCTTGGATTGGAAAGAAAGCTTTCGCATTGTTTTTCTCCTGGGTTTCTCTTGCTTATGATTCTTACCCCTGAAAGTTAAACCTTTGTTAGCTTTGTAAAAGTGGAAGCCAAGGACATTGAAAATGCCTTCTTCACGTTGATGTCACAGCTCATCCATAAATTGGATCCTGTGTTCAAGATGCCGGATGATGCCGCAAAAGCATTGAAAAGATGCGCTGAGGCACGCAGTGATGTGATCAAGGAGCTAGGTTTGCCAGCTGCGGAAGGGAAGAAAGTTTTGCTTGAAGTCATAAACGGTGGCGGTCCGCCTAGCCGTCTGTCGGAACATGATGTAATTGTTGGGCTTCGGAAAGCTGCCATCTGGATTAAATGGCTTGCAATTTCAAATTTTCCCGATCTCTACAGCCACTGTGATGCAGACAGAAGCAAGCCATCGCCAGACAACTCCATGATAGCATACTTGTACCAAGCTGTTGAAGATCTAGTTTTGTCTAGCTGGGTGCAATTCCTCATGACGCAAGATCTCGTGCATTTATCCCTTCACTTCGACGGTTGCCGAATTCAGGGTCGAGCGCTTGACACGGCTTCAATGTGTCAAGAGTCTTCGGAGTGGATTGCCAAAGAGACTGGGTTTCAGGTGGTTGTGAAGCAGAAGAAGCACCTGCTTCTCGCGGAGCTGTTGGGAAGGGATGGACGTGTTTGCGATACTCTGTCACTTTCTTCCAGCTTCGACTACTCTGCAAATGGCATTCTTACATGCCTGGCCTACATTGCAGACCTCTGGTCACCATTGGACGCATGGCTACAGGAACATAAGGCAAACATTGAAGGAGGTCAAACACATCGTTCATATAAAGAATGTTTCAAAGCTGCAGATGTTGCCTTCTCAGTAGACATTGGTTTCTGTGCTGAGAAGACGGGGAAGTACCTACTCCATTGTGAGCACAATGGATCTCCGCTCGTCCTTGGATGTGTAATGGCCGAAGAAACTTGCAAAGTGTTAGTCCGGGACACAGTATATGCGCTATCAGCAGATGCTTTCAAGGCATGTGCTGAGGAGTCAATTGATTATGCCTCCCTAGTGACATTTCGCATGCTGAAAGCAGGCGAAAAACCCCGGCAAGAATCTGAAGTTCTTCTGGAACTGCAGGCCGGCTTCGATCTATCTGGCGGTGCTGAGTTGGAGATGTTGTGTGAGTGCGAAGGATTGCTGGAGAATTCTGATGATGAAGGCATGGCCGGATCACATGTTGATGAATCAATAGTGCAGGTGGGCGAAGAGTTGCTGGCGTTGCTCGCAGAAGAAAGAGGTGAAGTCCTAGATAGCACTGAGACTGTGCATGAAGGCAGTATGCACCGTTGTCCGTTCTGTCCGTTCCGGCAATTCCCTCGACCTTCTCGTGTGATGGAGCATGTGCAAAAGTATCATACAACGAAACGACAATTCTGTTGCAGTGGCACCAAGCAAGTCAGAGTCATTCAGGCTTTGTTTGACGATGACCAGCTCCGCAATATACAGCCAAGTGCTCGCTACCTCCGCAGGAGCGCCGCCGTGTTGCGAACATCAATTGGGAATGAGGATGGAAGCATCAATCATCTTGATCGTCGATTACGCTTGGTCTTGACGGAGAAGGGCCCCGTGTACAAAAGCTTGCAACACGTTGCTGAGAACGAAACAGTGTACCGTCGAGCCAAGAACTTGTATTACACGCATGGATTTGCAGATATGCTTTTCCAAGAGATGATGGTTAGCAATGCAAAAATGAAGCAAGCATCTCGACTGAAGCTTGTAGACATGTATCCCTTGGATGCACTCTTTGTTGCTCCTTTAAATTGTGACATTGACTGTTTTTGTTACAAGCGATAACCCCTGTTGATTCTAAGGCGGCTAGCCGGTTGGCTTTGAGACTCGCAGCAAGTGGCAGCAAGCTCACGGGCCTCTTGCCTCAGCATGTTCGACACTGGTGGCCGCTCGTGGAGGACATCTTCTACTCCGACGCCGTGAACCAGCTGTTCGCCCAATCTATGGCAGAGGCGGTTCACCATACGGAATTTGAATCCGTCAGTGTGGATGCAACCCTGAAGTGTTGCCTCTCCATTCTCGGCCAGAGTTCCTACAGAGCAGGGCCGCAGGAACGAGCCAGCGCTGCTTTCACGGGGAAAGATTGCTTTCGCAAGGTGCCCGGGCTGTTTGTTAGCCTCCTTTTAGACAAAAGCCAAAGGTGTCAAGTTTAAACTAAATTTGTTTGCTTCATTCTCAGAAACCATCTGCCTGGCAGGTTCTGACAGTCCGTGGGCGAACCGGCTGTGTACTGCTCATGGCTCCAACGCCAAATGAGGAGGCACCCGCCATTGCCGAGCGCATTGCTGAGTCGTTGCCTGAAGATGGACTCCGGCAAACACGGATTGTGTGCACGGATGATCCTTCTGCGCATTTGTTGTCGACATTGCGCAATGTCATGCCAAAGCTGGAGCTGCTATGCTTGGACCCTGTCCACCTATGCATGACTTTTGAGTATGGGACGTACAGAAGAAGAACAAAGGCGTCAACCATGTTGAGAACAATTATGCAAAAGTTTAATGCCGTGGACTTTAAGAACATGTCAGCCTACAACTCCAGGCCTTTCAACGGCATTCAGGATGTTTCGTTCGATCACATCACCAAGACACGTCGAGAACAGATTCTGAGTGGAGGAATGGGAAAGGCCAAAGCAGAATCTCTCCTTGACAGCCTGGATGCTGCGAAGCCTTGGCAATGCGAACGGGATTGCATTGAGGCCATGGCAGCATTTGTCCGATGTTTTCCGGACGATGTAGACAAAATCATTCCCGGTCCGAACCGGTCTGGACGGCAAGTGCTGTACACTGCCTGCGCGCCTGCGAGGATGCAATGGTATTTCAACAACATCCGGGCGCGCCATAGTATGCGGCCAGATCGAGTTGTATTACTTCCTGCTGGTACCACTTCCAACGAGGCACTGCATGCTGAAGTACGAGCTTGGTTCCGAGAGACGCAGCAGATGCATAAGAGCACATTGGAAATCAAACTGCGGGTGCTTCACCTGTCCAAACTGATGACCCACCATGCGGGCATGTACAGACCAACTTTGCGGCAAATTCCGTCGGGCCTGGTGCTGGCTAGATCTGTTGTCTCTTCTGCCTGGAATCGACGAAAGCCCTGGAGCAAATTTGCCGGACAGAGTGGCAAGGCTCATTTGCCTCTCAATGAGAGACGGCAGCAAGAAGCATCATTAGTCAAGGCGCATGCTTCCAAAAAACCGGCTGCCAATATCAAAAGACCAGCGGCCATGAGGCATTGCGCAAAAAAGCCAGCCACGCACGTCCTCCCGCAGAAAGTGCGCAGGACTCCCTTTAACAGAGTAAGAGTGTCCACTTGCCGTATCATGGGCAAAAAAAGGCAAGGAGGTTTGAAAGCCTAGGCCTTTGAGTTATTGGATGCTTGCACTTGACCGATCTCTGCGCAGAAAAAGGTTCAAGTCGGCGCGCGCCCTGCCAGATGACGCTGTGGGACTTGTCAAAGACAACATGTTCCGATTGTATTAAAAGCATTTTCAGAACATCAAGCTACTCCGTCAGGCTTGTTCTTGCGGCCTTCGATCTCTCAAACTCTTCTCAAGGCAAGAAATTTGGAAGGGCACGGGGGTCAGAAGGTTTCTTTGAGAAGCACAGAAGAAACCAGATAAACCTGAAACATGAACCCTTCTCTTAGTATTTTTCCTAGCTGGAAGACCATGGTCAACTTCGGAAAGCAGGACATGAGGCGGTATGATGATGTTGGCCTGGTTCTTCTTATGTCTCCGCACTGGTTGTGATGTGAGAAGAGTGTGTCAAGTCTCGGGCTTGAGGGCTGTCAACAAGAAGGGCTGTCAAGATTCAGGGATGTCAAGGGCAAACCGGATCAAGAGAAAGTGCGGCATTATCAGACAAGACTGTCGAGAAAAAAATATCAAGGAGAAAGAGTTCCAAGAGATCACGCAGGCAACGGCCGTGACAACCAGGCGGCCAGGAGTCGCTCTTATAGGTTATCCCTTTTCTTTATAGACTTCTTACTTTTGTCTTTCGAAACTTCCGTCACCCGGCTTGCCCGGGCCTTACTAAGTTTTCACGGGGAATAGTCTGAAACAATATTTTCCAGCGGGTTCATGTCATGGCATAGCCTCCTCAGGGAGACGAGTCGGCATGGGAGCACCACTGGCGCCCCTGGTCAAGGGGGTGGGGCAAGTGGCGCCTCGATTGCAATTCTTGTGGATGTCGTTGCCACTTTGTTTTGAGCGTTCTCCACTGGTAGAAAGGCGTGTTCATGTCTTGTCCGCCGGTGGGCGACATTGAGCAAAAAAAATCAACTATTTTGCATATATGATATATTGTAAAGATGACTATATCGAACATTGCGCGTTGCAAACGCTATTTTCCCATATTTGGTTAGCCCTCTTGCAAGAATATTGTTTGAAACTTGAGGGACCGATGGGGACCATACGGGAAGAAAGATGCTTGTCCGCCAGAGTGCACGTGCAGCAGTGATTTCGTGATTTCTTTGTCACATTCACGATGTTTCTTGTGTTGCAGCACATGGCTTCTATTGGATCCCCGATGCTTACCCCTGGCTGAGAACCCGGGGGTCCAGCCCAAAAAAATAGCCAGGGGGTACCTTGAGTATCTTGTACCAAATTTTTATCCCAGTAGCTGTTTCTTATATTTTGGGGTTGTATCGGAATTTTATTCGCCGGATACCTTTACTCTCAAATATAAAAATTCTACATGCTCTTGACTGTCAGTCCCACGGAATTTTATCCAGGAGGGATTTTGGTACATGAAACAGTTCAAGCAGGGTCTGATATCAAGAAATCAACCCCAGATAAAACCCACGGGTCTGAGATTCTATGGTCCAAAAGGTTCCTCATTTCTAAGGTCAGATAAGGTTTGAGATGTAAAGATCCTAAAAAATATCAATATTTTGTAAAACAAACATGACAGCCTATGGGATATCAAAAATGATAGATCATATAGATATGATATTAAGAAATCGACCCCAGATAGAATCCATGAGCCTGAGATTGTATGGTCCAAAAGGTTCCCCATGTCCAAGGTCAGAAAAGATTTGGGATATAAAGATCCTAAAGATTAAACGTTTTATATAACAAGATAACAGTCTATGGGATATCAATGATGATAGATTGGGTGTCAAGAAATCAACACCAGATAAAATCATATAAAATCCACGAGTCTGAGATTATATGGTCCAAAAGGTTCCCCATTTCCAAGGTTAGATAAGGTTTGAGATGTAAAGATTGTAAAGAATGTAAAGATTTGTCCCCTATTTGTGCCAATTACATTCTATAGTTTTGCGGAAGTGATTTGAAGAAACAAATCTGGGTTCGTGAAAACAGATGCGCAGAGTTGAAATCCCAAGGTCTAAGCTTTTTCTTTTCGGATGTTTCAGCAAGTGCTTGCCTAGGCCCTTCCTGGAAACTTCAACAGGTATAAATGAATTTCTGAATCATTCTGAATCTGCGGCTTTTGGAAGATTTGGATGAGCTGGGAAACTTTTTTTTTCGATGAGCATATCCAAGCATCATGAAGATCATTGTGGATCATAACCTGCAAAGATCTCACATTTTTCAAAAATTGACTCGGCCGAATAGACCTCAAACCCTTGGATTTTATCTGCCTGATATCTCTCTACAAACCAAGTGGGGTGGTATAATTTTTTGGTCTCGAGCCCGAATTTTCGCCTATGCAGGACCTCATGCCCAAATTTTATCCAGCCTTGTTTTGGGGTAGGTTCGGAGTTTTAGCTGGCTAAAATCGAGGCATGAGACTAAAAGGCACAAGCAACGGGGATCTATTGGTAAACCCGCTATAAATTCTAGTTGATATCTTCATTCCCCCAGGAACAATCAGAACATCGGTGTCAAGTGACTATCCCATGCGAGAGCAAAGAGATGATGGAGGAGCTGGTCAAGCAACTGGAATTTTGGGGTGGCTTGGAGAAACTTCTTGTCCAATCAAAATTGGACACAGTTCAGTGTTTTTAGGTCTGACTTCACAATGTCTGGTTCCAACACATAGAGGTTCTTTTTTGGGCAAGTAACGTGGAATCTTGAGGTGTTATTTGCATTACGGGCGTTGAGAAGTCTTGGTTGTAATTGGGTTACAAATTATGGTGGTATTCAGTGTCTGATGTGTTTTCGATGCATCTCAATTGCGGAGACCTGTTTTTAAAGCTTATTTTGACCAAAATTGAATGAGGATTACTATTTGATTCGGTTTCGATTCTGATTCTGCGGCCAGACTCTCAGGCACCATCGAAGGTCGCTTTTTGGATGAAGAGAACAAGGTGCTGAAAATTCGGTTTCAAAGGGCCGTGCAGGCCAAAGCGTGTGTGGCTGGGATGCCTAAGGTTAGCTGGGCATAGAACTTGAGGCTGAGAGCGGCTTGAGTCGGGCATGGAAAAAAGCTGGCCTGGAGTGGCTGGAGAGATTCCGAATATTTCATGAAGGGCCCCAATGGAAGGCAAATAGCTGTATCAGCAGAGGCAAGGGGTACGGTCATATTATACCAGAAGGTCCCTGCCACATATATATATATTTCTTATATCATCAAACATCAGCAATGGGTGCACCATGATCACCATGGTCCACCTTACCAATCCCAATCCAACCATCCCAACAAACCAAGGCACGGCAGCCCGGCTAGACTTCTCCAGCTCCAACAGACGGCCGTCCATGGATTTGCTGAGCTCATCCAACCTGACATCATCCCATGGGTCAGGTGGGTCCCCTAGACTAGAGACCCTGGTGAACATCAACAACTGGGATGGACATGGATGTTCATCCCCCAAATATGGTATTGCTATAACCACTGGATGTAACTGGACTGAAAGAAGGGAAATAAAAAAAACACTCAAGCCCTACCCAAAGGTGGTTTTGCCCCACAGTGCGAAAGCGAAATCTTTGAACCCCGCATCTGAGTCAAAGGCTTCTGCGCAATTTCTTGAGGGTCGTTCTTGAAGATGTGACTTTGCTTCAAGGACCTCTGGAGAAACAGAGATGGGAATGAATGAGAATGATATGGAATGACACTTTTCTCCAACGAATGCATTTCCACTTTAAATCAAGGACAAGTAAACATGCCAATCAATCCCTTTAAAGCCCGGTTTGACCCAAAAGAAACCTATGGAAACCCGGTTGTGCTAATCTCTGATCCGACATGGTTCTGAGGGCAGGGCAAACGCACGTCACCAATAGATTTGTCGACTTCTGATTTCACGCACCTTATCACCGGAAGTGGGTTTTTGCAATACCTGTTGTAATATTTAATAGGAGTTATGCATTCACGATAGCTTCCACAATTCAAGAGGACTCTCTTTGCTTTGCTTCAATGTTTCTGAGGAAAGGATCTAAGAAGCCAGGGTTTTGATTCTGAGAAGTACGAGTAGACACCATTTTTGCATCCTCATTGTATATTTCCCAGCAATCTCCAGTACAATGTGGAGGAAGAGAATGAGTTCAGTCATTCTATATCGATCGGAAGTTGATCCACTGCCTTTTCGAGTCCGCCAAAGGTCCAGTGTATCTCCAATCCTCAAACATATGTATATATATATAATATTATATAATTATAATTAACTATATACATTATATGTGCCTCCACCAGTTTAAATAAGAACGGTTGGTAAAATTAAGCCCTGGCAAACGCCTCATTTTCGAACACGATGCCACTCACCACGTCACAAACCAACAGAATTTCACTCACGGTGACCTTTCCAATTCACAAGGCTCAGAAGTATCCAACGAACATTATCAGCCCGGTCAGCAAATAGTTGATTTTACTGACTGATTGATCTAGTCTATGTCTTATCTTATAATATCTTATAATATCTTATAATCTTATTCAATTTGCTGCTCAGCCCTTGCAGTGATGCGCACTCTTCGGATATCTTCGGATCGACATCTCAGGCACTCCTCCAAATTCTCCTGCACCGAGCGCAAAGCCATAGACCTGCTGGGATTTGGCATCGAATTTGGCTCTCCCGTTCCCGCTTTTTTCCAAGCCTTTTTGCGACAGGCTTTGATGATCTATTACATACAGCATCACATACAGTAGAAACTCAGTGGAGCTGGATGAGAGGGAATAGGTGGAGTAGACTATTGAAGTATATTGAAGTTACAAGGAAATTAATGGAAATTATGGGAGAATTTGAATTTGAGCGCAAAACGGTACAGTAACTGAGCGCACAATGACCAAACTGATTGGAACGTGGCTGTCACCTCTGACATCTTCCGACACCCGGTGCCTCACTGTTTCGATGCTGGCACGCAAGGCGGTAATATCAACCTGCGACGCCAAGTCTTTGGACCTTTAGGAGCTCCTCTTCAAAAGCATAACACACCAAATTCATACAAAATTCATCCAAATT